GGCGGGATGGAGACTGGCCAAATCCTGCAAACGTCTGACCTACCCTTCTCAAGGTGACCGAAGCCAATGGTTCAGAAGAAAAGCCGCACGCGGGTCATGTCTCCCTGAACAGGAGGACACATGGGTATGGGTCAAAATAAAACCACCAGGAATTGGACAGCTGGTTTAGTCTTTGGTGCCATCTACCAGGGTCCATTTTGGGAACGCATTTTTGACTCACAGCCTCATTAACACACACATATAATTCCACAACAACATGGACACATGTACAAGGCCGATACAAGAGTCAGACACATAGACTGGGATTGTGGCGGGGTTCGTAGACATCATGGGCAGGAGAAAAAATGGTGGGATAACAATGTCTATACTGGGCCACCCTCAGATCCCTCGCCACAAGTGACCAGCTTTAGTGTGAAATTCGGAAGTCACCACTGAACCCTCAAAAGCAAAAAGGCTGAGGAACCGAACCACCAAGCGTATGTCGTATTTCTTTTCGCCCCGGTTGCCGGGCCCACTTTTTCTGACCCTCGAGTAGCTGAAGACCAGGAAGGAGCCGAGGAGGCCCCAGCCCACGGCCCACTCTTTGGCTTTGCCTCGCGTGGATCGCCGACCTGTTTTGCATAAAACGGAGCCTCCCCCTCACAACCAAGGAATGGCAACCTGGGTCTGGAAAGGACTGCCGACCTTGGGGTGCTTGATGTCGAAAACTGCCAAAAAGGGAGTCTCTGGCTTTGCCTCACTTGCAATTGGAGGTCTGGAACCAAAGGACTGCCCACCTTGGGGTGCATGTCAACGGACCCTCCCTCTCACCATGGAGCTCTGGAACCGCAATGCCAAGCCTTGGTGCTTGAGGTCAAAAACTGAGGACCCCCCAGACGATTCCACGGAAGCTCCCGAACGATTCGACCCATAAAGACTGGCTTCCAGGTGCGGAGGCCTTCTGGGAGCGGTTTGAAGCCGTCAAAAAAGAGGACGAGAGCAGGACACATGAGCCAAATGCTTCTAAAGGCACCTGAGCTTGCTGGTGCTCATTCCCTGAATGAGGACATGAACCTGCAAATTCTGCTTCAAGGAAACCAATTCGCTGGGTTTTTCTTGGGGTTAGTCCATGTCTCATTCCCTGCATCTCTCGCACCAGCAAGTAAGTTAGGTCTTCAAATGAAAGGGAACAAGTGAACAGGGTATGGGTCAAAATTAAACCACCGGGAATTGTACCGCAGGTTCTAGTCTATGTTGCCATTTACCAGGGTTCTACTTGGGGGTAACCCTATTTTTGACCCATACCCAACAAGTGCTGCTGGACTCCGGGCTGCAAAAGACCCAAAGCCAAAAGAATGCACTACCCGCGGCGACGGCCGGGAAGGCCGCCGACCAGGACGCCTGCCAGCCGGACGGATCTGGGCGTCGACTGGAAACCAAAAGGTCTGCAACTGGACCCGGGTCCATTTCCATTCTGAACCCAGGGATCCGGATCTTTCTAGAAAACCTCCGGAAACCCAGGGAAAACGGCAGGTTTTTGGAAAGAACAATGGTTGAAAAGAATGGGGAATCAACCCCTAGAAGAGTGCGACCCCCAAGGGTCCCTACAAAAGGTGGCCATCCTTGGAAGTGGCTCACATGGATTCTAGGCCAAACGCCAAACGTTGGAAGCAAACAGGCGCAAATCTGGGTGAAGTGTTCTAGGTCAAAACAATAAACGCAGCAACATCAGACTCAACAAAGGAAGATATTCCCTCCCTGCAGTCAATGGAAGCCCCATAGGCGAAAGGAATGCTGATAGCGGTGCCCTTGGTCAACTGTGAAAACTTCAAATATCAGCAAAGATAATATTAACCTGGCACAAGGTGCCGCAACGCAGGAAGCCACTGGTTTGCTGAAATGCATCATTCACCAACCTGAAATGAGGGACTCACAAGAAAGGAATCCTAATGATGCACTAGGTTGCACCCCCCCCCTCTTTGCAAGGTCTCTATCACCCAGACCAATCCACACATGCATGTATTTGTCATCCTTTTGCTGCGCCGCATCAATCTGAGTTGCCCAAAGGAGGCGCGCTCGCGATTCACCATACTGCACCCCATAGAGTTCTGATTGCGTCAAACGGCTCATCACAAAAGCGGCCACCTGGTGCTACACCTCTTGTCCAAAAGATATGCAACTAAACATATTGGTCGTACGAGTATGCGATTTGTGGCCATGACAAAACTTTTCAAGGGGTTGGACCGCTTGGCAGAACTGAGATATTGGCCCTCCCAAAGCGTTCTACGCGTTCTTGTCAAGACAATGCGTGCAACCCTGTAACACATGCCACTAAAACCTCTCAGCCAGTGAACCAAGGTCGATGTCTTTATGGTTCAGATTGCTCGCCTGCCCCAAGCGCATGGACGCGGTGCTTTCAGGCCACTAGTTCAACACCGAACTTCAGAGAACTAACCTTTGAGCGGCTTGCACAAATGGGATAAGGCAGCTTCGCAAAAGGGTATCTAACAATGCTTCATTCTTCGAATTCCGCAGCTTTTCCTACTGGACCTTCCTCTTCCACAGCAGCGGGCCACTTGACGCAAGTAAAGTTCTCACCCGCGTCAACTTAAAAACAAACAAAGCCCTACTCAAAGGGGCATTCTACTTTGTACGTGGGTGATATGACGCACGAAGGCCCTGGATATTTTCGTCTCCCTTCAGTGGGTTATCTCACCAACCTTACTCTCGCCACTTACCTGGGCTGTCCTCAGATCCCCCGCAAAATATGACTAACTTGTAGCGTGGACACCCCCACGAACCCAACTCAAAAGCATAAAAGCTGCCAAGGAACCGGAGAGCTGGGAGCAATTGGTTGGTGGTTTGAACCCCTCGTGCTTCTAGGGGGTAGATGAGAGGTTCCCACCAGAATCCACCAGAAATCATCCGGCTCCAAAGCTGCGACGTCGCGACTGCCCGCCTCCGCGCAGGGGTTTTCGAAGTCCTCCACCTTGGTCCAGAGGAAAGGCAGGGCCAGCCATGCCCCCACCGCCTGCAAGCCAAGCGAAGCGAACGAGCCGAAGCGCACGAAGCCGAAGCCGGAGCCTTTCCAAAAGAGCCCGGGAAAACGAGTTCGAGAAGGTCGCGACGAGTTCGTTAAAAAAAGAGGGTCAGGTCTTCAAATCAGAAAAATCCCAAATTGGTATCCGAGTATTCCAAAGCCCGAAGGCAGACACAAGGAAGGCCGCGCCGGGGCGGCCTTCCGAGCGCGGTGTTGTTTCTATTTGGGCCCGCGCTGGAAACTTTCGTCAAGTGAATCACCCTTTTGATCTGATTCACCTTGTTTGCAACACATGCCCCAAATAAACCGAAGGGCAAGTATCCAGCGGATCCCAAAGAGGCATCGCGAGTCTCTTGTATTCATGTATGACTCTACTGCCACTCTACTGCGCCAGACTGAGTACAGTTCCTCGCAGGGCAAGCGTTTCCGGGACGACATGCAACTAGCCAAGCAACCCACAAATCCTGCGAATTCATAGACCGAAAGTTATGGCTCTCTATCAACCATATCAAACAAACAAAGCTGTCTGATTGGCGGACAAAACTCGATCCATGTACTGCTTTGGACAACCAAACACTAAACTAGGATACCCTAAACCGGTTTGGACAACTCGAAATTCACAAGTTGCAAATGCCAAGTCACCAATGAGAACAGGCCAGCGCTGGCAGAAATGAAGCGGGTGCATTCGCGCTCGCAGTTGCAGCGACAATTCTGTGCGCCCATCGCTCAGGTTGGCTTGAGAGACATATATAAACTCGGTTGCTTTCTGCTGCCCTGCTAAAAGTTTGACTTTTAGTGGTTTAGTGGAAAACCCATTAGTTGGCAAAAAGTCAAAGTCCTAACAGCCAAGCAAAATGCACCAAAGTAAATGTAGGGTCCTCGACGTGAGTCTTTGTTTGGCACGGGGGGCTGTCACTGAATCGATCTCTGGAAGACTTGCTGAATCCGTGCATAAAGGCCGACGGCTGTCAGACAAATCAGAACGCATATTGCTCCTTGTTCACCTCCAGCATCGTTTCCTTTCATGCAGCTCTCTGCAAGCCAAGAACACGGGCGTATGGCGCGACAGTCGCCTGGAGAGCTGGACGAGGCGGACTGGGCTCCCACACATACCATATCTTCACCAAACGCTGTCCTTTCAAAGCAAACCAAAGTATCCGCGGGTTCGACAAATCCAAGGGTCACACTAAGATTCCCGCGAATGGACGCATTGGAGCGATGGGTCTGATCTGCTTTTACCAGGCCTCTGCACAACAATGAAAGGCAAGGACATGATTTGTGTCCAACACATACGAATGTGTCAAAGAAAGCTGAGGACTCTTTCAAACATGGAAGCCAACTTGAAATTAAATGTGGGGAAGAGGTCCTTGACCCATCTACCCAATCATCATCAAGCTACAACAGCCTTGATGCCAAATGGGAAGCATTGAGAACCATCCGCCAAGCGGCGTGTGCACGAAAGTAAGCTGAACTAAAATACATGCTCGTCCACAAAAGTGACAAATTGGATTAGACTAGCTAAGTTAGTGCTATGAATTCAGATAGGCCTTGTGGGAATGTTCGGAAATCTGGCAGATTGCTTCAAAAGTGCATCTCTCCCGCTGCCAAAACTATAGAAGTGTATTGAAGGTCTTGCAGTGCCGGAAGCGAGGCTGTTGCAAAGTTCAAAGGCTCTTCTGCCAATAGTGGTTGTGTATGCTCTTGCAGGGGACTAAGAACAATCATTCCAGCCAGACCAATGACCTTTCTAATTTCGATCCGGAACATTGTGTGCACAGGCAGAAACTCACTTCCTGGGTGGATTGGCAAAAAAAGTGAACACTTGTTATTTTACCACTAAAATGGTCGAAGCCCCAAAGGTGTAAAGTTCGGGAAGTCAGGAAGTGAGGAAAGGTACTGAAAATCCCATGGCGCCAGTGGAGTCACGTGCTACCTCCTGAAACCGGGGGTGGATCGATTGGCAAAGCTGCGCCGGGTCGGCGCCACTTGCGCCGCGATGGGTACGGGCCTACCGGCAAAACCGGAGAGCGCGAGCTGTTTTTCGGGCTCCGATCATACAATGCAAGTGAACAAAGTGAAGGTCCAATGAAGCAAATGTAAAAATACTACACACTCATGGTTTGCCTTTTCGACCGAAATGAACCGCCTGCCTTGAAAAGGGTTTCTACACTACCCGGCGGGGGGCGGCTTATTTCTCCCACAAACAGTGGAAAAGGCAAACCATGTTACACACTTCTGTTCTCAAGAGCCTTTGTGGGAATCACATACTTTGAACTCACGCCTGGGGGTGTCCAGGTGATTCTTATTTGTTTAATTGGAATCACATAATTTGACATCACGCCTGGGGGGGTCCAGTTTTTTTTTGGGGGGAATCACATATTTTGAAATCATGCCTGGGGGGGGGGTCTTTTTTTGGAAATCACGCCTGGGGGACCCCGGGTGGTTTTCTTTGAAATCACGCCTGGGGGGTCCCGGTGCTTAGAAAAAAAACACCGGTTCCGCCACAGACGTAGACATCAGGGCGGGGCTGTTTTGCACATTGGGACCTACAAGACTTAAACATGACTTCTTCTCAAAAAGGCGGAACTCCAAAATAGGCAGTTTCCTTGTGGTTTTCGCTTTAAGCCCTCAATCACATACCAAGCCTCACCAAAAGACACTCATCAGATGAGTTGCAAGCGATCTGGGCATCGGCCAATCATAGCCCAAGCCATTGGCGACAGCAACTCGCTGCGCAGGTGTGTGTGTGTGTGTGTGGAAGATAATGAAGATGGCAAACAAAGCTGACCTAGTGATGTGGTTTCATTCACCAGCATGAGCAGGTAACCCGTTGCGCTACGTATAAATTAGTGGTTGTTAACAATAGTGTCCGGTGCAAGTCATCAGTAAGAACAGCCCCCTGGGCTCTTTGTAGGGAAAACGGTGACTCTCGTATTGCCTTGTCAAACTGCCATGTCAACCATAATGTTGGGCCCCTTTGATAGCGGGGTGCGCTATTATAGGACGTCTAATCCTTAAACAGACTCTGCGACTGTTTTGGGGCGCGGAATAGACAGTTTCTTCCCAGCGACGGATCTGAGCCCATGTCCTTTCTCATATGGCTGTGGGTAAGAATTAGACTACCAGGGGACCACAGGTGTCAGTCCATGCTTCTAGTTAATAGGGTTCCATTTTGGGTACCCATTTTTACCCACTGCCAATGCATATCTTCTCATTCTTTCTGGGCTGCTTGGCTTAGGCCCTCAACTCAGAGGCTTAGATCTCAAATCGATCTACCCCAAAAGGAGAAGGGGGGGGTGCCCACAAAAGCCCCAGATCCACTTCAATGGCACGTGTTCCGACTTCTCTTTGACATAAACTATTGGGCCGGGAAGGCCCAGTCCTTCCAATTCTAAGGGGTGCTATGCTCACTTCGGCTTAGGACTCAAAGGCCTAGGCCTCAGATCTCGGAACTGTGTTCGCTTAATGCCAAAACGTGGAGTGGCAATACTCATCCTATGGTTGTCAATGGCTCTCCAATAGCTACCCCCCAATCCTGCTGTAGGCTAGTAGCGACTAATAGGGTCTATAAGGGGCTAGTAGGGTTCCTTGTGGGACCATTGCCAGGGGGTCCCCACTTTGCCGGGCCCCTGAAAACCCATAGGAGCTGAATCTTGAATGAAAAATTATGGGGCAATGCTAAGCTATTTGTTTTGGCCCAGCTCAAGCCCCCCCGAAGCCAACAAAACAATACGAAGCTCTAAGCTTGTCCACTAAAGAGAAGCTTCTGACTCTTGGCACTGTTGGACTGTTGAGGGGTTCGGATGAAAAAGGGTACCACATGGGGCTCCCGGGAGCAACGACCACACATTTACCCGTCCCCATAGCCGTCCAAATCTGCAACAAACACCGTCTTTGAAAGAATCCAAGCATTGGCTGTGGTCTTGTGTCTCAACTGTCCGGCTCACTTGAATGGTGATCCTAAGACACCCCTCTCTACCAAACTCCCCAAGGGCAAACAATCACTCGGCAACCCCCCTTGATTGAGTGTTTCCTGGCAATTTCAGGGACATCCGAAGTTCCGTGGAAGTCTTTGGGACATCAAACCTTGATCCACAGACCTGTACAAAAGGGCCCTCCTGGCTTGAGGCCTGATTTCACAAAGTCGAGAATACATTCAATCAGGCCGGCGGAACATACAGTCGACAACAATTTTACACCTGCTTGGACCAGCATGATGAGACAGAAACTTGAGGGCCGGCCTGGACTGCTACACCGCGGACCTTGTCGATAAGGTGCTTGGGAGGGTCTGCAAAAGTGTTCTTCAAAGGTTTGTTCGAAGCTGTTGCGACCAAACAAGCAAACAAAAGTTCGGATATTTTCGTCAAGGTTCCGAAATCAATTTCTGGAATCATCCGCGATGTTCGCCCAACTCCCCAACATCTTTGTCGAAGTTCGCTTGGTCAGGGCGTCCACTCCGCCCTTCTGTAAGGTCTGTTTGCCATAACTTGGACTCCCCAATCCCCGTGGATACTGGAAAATTCACCTCAACCACCACCGGCAGGATCCAAATAAAGGGCAGCGGGGGCAAAGCCGAAGCTAGCCGAAAGTACTAGGTCGGATCAAACGGTATACCTCAATTCTCTCCATGACCCGAAATCAAAATGGGTCAATGACCAACCATTATGTTGCGTAACCAAGCATTTTAAGGTTCAGGGAGACTCAAGGTATCAACTTTGCCGCGAACCATAGACACCATTGATCTAAGGAGACTTTTGCGGCACCCAGCGCGCCTATACGCCTGGGGGCTACCAGCTGGAACACCTCAGCCAAAATCACCAAAATTCCGGTGGCAAGCTGCCAGGCTGTGGGGTCCAAAACCCAAAAATGGAACCCTCCCAAAATGGGAAAATGTGGGGATAGGTTTAAACCCAACCAGGAATCCAGCCATTTGTCGATGCCCATAGTCGATGCAAGCACGGGACTATGATGTTGGGCTATTCTACATGCCTCCAATCATCTGTGGTGAATGAAACCGAGGACTAAAACCTGCGGTTCTCTGATGGAATTTTCACCTGTATTATATCTGCTTGCCTCTTAAGACAAGGGCCAAGAAAATATGGGCCGTTCAAACCCTGAAAGCCAACCGGCTCCCTCCTGAATGCAGTGCTGCTACAGTAATTTGCATGTTAGGGGCACCAGGCATATTGAAAGAGCAACAAAACAATCAGATGCCGCTGAAATTCAGTAACAACTATATGTTTTACAGTGAAGGCGACCTCGAGGGTAAACATGCCTTCATTGAGGATGGATCGATGTGCCCCACTGGTGAGCGGGTTGGTTATGTTGCCCAAACCAATGAGAATAACCACTTCATTGCGATAGACAGTAGCATTTTTAGAGCGGGAACTTGATTTGCCAAATGACCATGTCAAGCCAAACCTGTGGCCGAGCACGCAAAGAGCCACCGGTCTTGGACTAAAGGGACACCCACCAAATAAAAGGGACCATTCGGCACCCGGACGGACGAAATTGCCCGTTGGTTGATGACAATCCCTTGCAATCGACCCAAGTTACTGGGTGCTTTGGCCATTGCACATGATGCCCATAGACTCTGGGGGGATCCATCAAGGAAGCTGCATCTTTGGATAAGCCCAGGCCAAGCCCTCTCTCTACGCGTTAAGCAGGCCCCACACCCCTTTGGTAGATGCCCTTCTAATTCTTGACAGGGCAAGCGGTTCGTCTAAAATCACGATCAATGTTGCACGGAACCCCCATCTAGTCCCAAGATAAAGTTCCTACATCTTGGCCCCAAGTGGCATACAAGACAGCAGATTCTCGCCTCTGTCACGCATATCCTTTGAAAACCGAACAAAGGACACTGGAATACGTGGAAACAACCCTTCAAGGCGCGGGGCTCACTGCATCTTGTCCTCGAAACATCACACACCCAAATGTTCCCCAAGCAGTCATGAGGAAATCATCTAGACAGGCAGGGCAGTCTGTTACTCGGAGGGAAACTGCCACTGCTCCGCCTGGAACGCATATCATGGGATCCAGTACTTGGCAACTCCCTCAGTCCGAGCCCTGGATTGGTCAGGAAACAATGACAAGGCCGGGCCCTTCGACCGCAAACCTGGGAATAAGGCTACCATCTGACATCTCACCACAAGATCAATACATGGCAAGCATTCAAGGGGTTGGTCAACGTTCGTCGCCGTTCTTGGGAAGGAGTTGCGGGGGCTTTCAGCCAAGTATGGGGGGGGCGCAAATCAAATAGTGCACGTACTGGTAATGTACACATATACATTTATACATATATATATATATATGTATAGGTATTACTACATAGTTTGTTATTGCAACCCAGCAATTGCAAAAACCTGAAGTCAACCCAGTAGCAAGCCTGGATTAATAATCTCTTTGATCAACAGGGGCATGGCTTCCTTCGGGCGAATCCTGAACTTCTGAACTTGAGGGTGCACCCTTTTTGTTGAGTTAGCTTGATAAGTTTGGGCTTCATGGAAGACCAAGTCATGAAAAATATGTGGATGTGTCAAACCAGGCAAGGCACCCCCGGGTTGGTTCACATTCAAAAGAAACCAATGGCAGGCATCATCCGCCCCGCGCTGAAGAACATGTTCTACGCCGAGGCTCGTGTGGGCGTAGATGCCGCACTTGCAGAAGCACCAGGAGTTGGCAACGACCTCTGACAGACACAACTGGTCAGGTAAATTTGGCATGTGTCTAAGGTAGGAATTCAATCAATGAAAACCTGAAAAGGGGTGCATTTGTTGGGCTGGTGGCGAAGCTGGTGACTGAATCACCAGATGTTGGACAACAGCACTTCAAGTTCAAAGTTGTGTTGCTTGAAACAAATCCCGCATTGCTTCCATTGAGATCCTGCTGGGTAATTGCTTTTGTCCAGGCCAAGAGTTTGCAAAATGATCGCGTTCACAGGTGACAAACCAAACATGTTGGTCACGGTTTCAATGCAGTGTCACTTTCATGCCAGCCACTGCATTGAAATTTGAGCTCAATGGCTAATGGCCGTCGATTAACACTTCCAACCAAGTGTTTCGATTCTTGCCCGGCACATTTCTTGCGCTGTGGACATGCCCTCCCTACAACCCCAAACAAATCAAACCCCATGCCAAACCCCCCACCCCCGACTGCCAAACCCCCCGCCCTCACCCCCCCCCCACCCGAAACAAGCCAATGGGCCCTTCCCCTGGCAACGGCCTGTAAAAACTGGGTTCCTCTACGAGTCCTCTTTCAGGTTCTGTGGGTATGAGTCAACATAGGACCCGCAAGGTGGTGATTTAAAGACCGGGCAGGAATCCGAAGCCCGAACCAGAGTAGCCTCCGACGAAGCACAGCCCCACTTCATTTGGTCTTACATCTTCGTTTTACATCCCCCTTTTTTTGAGCGCCCCCGGCAGCATGGGCGCGGCCGCCGCCGCGGCCGACGCGCCGCTGGAGAGAATGTCGTCCTCGAAGCCGATGTCCCAGCCGCTGCCCGTGTCCTATGCGTCCGAGTCGGCCGCGAGTCGGCCGCTGGATTTGGATGCCGACGCAAGGAACTCGCTTCCACAGTTCGTGGGCCAAAAAAAGTCGAAACTTGTCTAGGTCCTCCAGTAGAGAAGTTGGAATAAGGGTACCCTTTCTTCTGTAGTCTATTTTAGTAGGGGTACCCTCCCCCAAAAAAGAAAGGGTAAAAGGGCACTACTGGGGGACCTAGTTGTTGTTTGCGACGCAAATGGTCTTCCCAAAAAGTTTGAAGTCCATGAACTCAGGAAGTGAGGGAACGCCTTTTGTCCTGTAATCGGTGCGAAAAGTAGGCTGGGAATGAGAAATGGAATGAACCGTTTTGGGATTCCCGAACAAAGGACCCCACCAGTTGGATTGGGGAATGAGACATGGAGTGAACCGTTTTTGGATTCCCTTAGTTCAAGGAAACCACCAGTTGGATGGTTTGTGGTTCATTCCGGTTCATATTCCCTGCTGAGCACCAGCAAGTAGTTTACCTCACTTCCGATCGAGTGGATTGGCCAAAAAAGGAAAACACTGTTTTGGGAGGACTAAACTGGTCCTCCCGAAAAGTATAAAGTCCAGGAAGTCTGGGAGTGAGCAACCGTAGTCTACCATGGTTTTGTGGTTGGGCGTTGCGCACTTGCAATACTTAGGGCATCCAAAGAACCCCATTCAATGGGCACCCCATCGTTCTGCAAAAACACTAGGATCCCAAGGGTTAATAAATTGAAAGTTGGCGGAAAGAAGGAGCCCCGAAAAGAAGGGAAGAACAGCTAGGACGGTGGATTCCTGTTTCCGGTCTGAGCCAAACCAAATGGCCAACTTTGAACCAAAGCATCACCGATCACCGGATGTCTGAAACACAAAAACACAAACAAAACAAGCGCCGCCAACAAGGGCCGCGCGGCCGCGCACTGGCTTTCGCAACAAAACACCCGCCAGCCAAACAAAGGAAGATGCCATCAGGCCCTGAGCTGGTTCACTCCATAAGATGAGCGTTCAACCTGGACTCCAATAGCGCAAATCACCTTCTTGCCCACTCGTTGTGGATGATTTCTGCTTCTCCCCCTTGGCTGTGTGGCAGCTCCATTGGTCCCGTGACTCACTGCGTCCCGACTTTTGGTCCCGCTGTTTATCGGGTGGCGCGATGCGCGCCTGGTAGGGCATGTCCTGGGGGTCCTCATGCTCACAGTCCCTAAAGTTCGTGAGGTCCCGCGGCCCTCGCACCTGACTCGATGCGTGAGGGAACGCGTTCGCGTGCGTCTGGTCACGTAACGATCACGGGCAGTAAGCTAGAAACAGGGCTGTGCACTTAGAGCAGAGACAACAAACTGAAGAATACGTGCTAAGAAGCCAGTGGGTATTAAGATGCTAACATGATTGACATCGATGTGCAGAAAGAAAAATAATAAACAGCCAAACAAGCTGGCCGCCAAGCATACATGTAATTGCAGCGAATGATGCCATTCGGCATTCTCCTCGATCTTGGATGTTCTATCCAGTTAGACGGTGTCTGTAACCTTGGCTGTAACCTGGACACAAAAAGAGTAGCTCCACTTGGGGAAGTCAAAAGTGGCTTGAAGGACAAATTTGCCAACCATATCTATATACTTTGTTGAACAGCATAAGTGACAAGAAAAAGGCAGCACGGAACAACAATCGGCAAAGTTTCTTGGACACGCGATCCTCTTGCCGTGGGCCACTTTGACATTGTCTTGTGCCGGAACTACCCCATGCGCATCCGATCGCATCCCGTGGTATCTTGCGAGACTTCTCTCCTCCGTGAAACAATACAAGCTGCACACATGTGTCTCTCTGAAGTAGTGGCAAAGCTCACTGAGCTTCACAAGCGAGGTCCGCACCAGTACCCCGGAGCACCAGAACGAAACAAACATCTTTGCAGAACAGCTTTCAGCCAGGACTCCGCTTCACCCCTTGTGTGCGATGAAGTGGTAAACACTGGTTTGTTGTCAATGGTCCCAATTCAAACAGGGGTGTGAGAGCGGGGGTACCAATGGGGGTCGGAGGCAGAGCCTATGAGTACCTTTTCGGATGGTTCATGACGAGGAGAGCAAAGCATGTAACAAATCCAAAGCCATGCCAAGGACAGTGATTCGCAACTGCCACCAGTCCGGTCGCTCCCCTTTGGCGGATGGATTCCCCCCAAACTTGATGGACAAATGGGGCGTAGGCGTTCACATTCCTATCCTGGCGAAGGTCTGGATTCACCCTCGCAGCATCGCCTTTGAACGCTACAGCTGAATCGCCTATTTCTGCCGATTGAGAGCTGCCAGGTACGACTGCAGGATATGATGCGATGTGGCCTTCAGAGAAACAAAACATGATAAGTTTTAGTGGTTTAATGGAAACCCTTTAGTTGGCAAAAAGTTAAAGTCCTAACATCCAAGCAAAATGCACCGCAACTACGAGTTGCATTGAAGCTACACGCTTTGAGGGCCCGGGGTCAAAGTAAGACCTCGCGGTTGGGCCCAGGGACCTTCAGCCGGCCTTCCTGGATTTCTGCTTCTCTTGTGAGTTCCATCAAAAACCTGTCCCATCAACTTGACTTTTTCTGGCCCCTTGATTTTACCGTCAAAGTCACCCCTGTGGTAGGTTAAAGGGCAGCAACACCATCACCTGACTTGGATAGACCCTGGGAACGGTTAAAATGACGACTCCAGTTTTTGGGAGGGGTGACTTCATGCAAAAGGCCAACCCTCAGCCAGAGGAGACACTTCGATCCGCATTTCCGCACCTGCGGCACCAGTGGTGGTGCCATGCGCAGTTGCTGCAATCCTGGCAATCCACTGGCAGATCCATGCTTGAAGGGCCTAACGAAGCGTCTCCCGAACTAAGCTCTGCGCCTAAAAATTGGACCTGGAACCTCAAACGAGCCCCCCATGTTCTGAACTTCTGAAGATGAAGTTTTCTTTCCGGCTTCATGTCAATTTGTTTCAGGGAGGAGCCCCTTCTAACCCGATGCAACCCATGGCCATGGGTGGTGAATTCACCTACCCCAACATGGGATCCCATTGGTTTTGACAACCACAGCCACATACCCAGCCAGAAACCAACCAGTTCATTTCGCTTCGAGTCTTCGAGGCCCCGAGCGAGGCCATGAGGCCTCGGGCCCTGTGGGATTTCTCGGCATTGCGAAAGCGGCGCAACAAGAGAGCCGGACCAGTGCAGAAAAACATGGCTGTGGTGGTCAAAACCAATGGGATCCCATGTCGGGGTAGGTGAATTCACCACTCATTTTAGAACCTATTTTAGTGGTTGGATTGGGATGTTCACTGGGGGTACAGGGTTTTGACCCATGGCCACAACGCACACCGATTGTGCAGAGACAAGTGGCTATTGACAACTGCTGTAGACTCTGTAGACCATCAGGGTGTTCATGCAAAGATTGTTTCGATACTGTGGATTCTCCAAACGGTCACTAGTAAGAGGCAGAACGCATCCTTTCCTCTACCCCAGCAAACAGCAAGCCAACATATAAATATAAATATAAAAGCATGGCAAAATCAGGAGACCCCCGCGTCTGTGCTTGCAAATCTGCAGGGCTGTTGAGCTTAGATCATGCCTAGTCGAACTTGGTTCTTAGCTTTGTGTGTGTGTGTGTCTGTTTGTGTTTTTCTTTTCCGGGCACAACCTGAGAGGCATTTCATGCATTGCAGGAGCCAGGGATTTTCATTGTTCTGCTTTTGGACCCTCTTTCTTGGTAAGAAAAAAAAAAAACGAGTGACCCCCTGAATGAATACTTGCACTCCTAACATTTTACCAGTTCTCGAGGTCACGCTCGAGCAAACGCCTGCATGGGCCTGTCTTAGAGAGCACCTTCCACTGGACAAAAAAAACAAAACAGCACCCCTTTTGGGTCAATATCCCGGTTATCCCCCAGTGAACTTCCCAATCCCCACTAAAATAGGTTCTAAAATGGGTGGCGCACCTACCCCAAAATGGGATCCCATTGGTTTTGACCCACCAAATCCCTACCCCGAAATCCCTCCCTTTGATCCAACCTCTTTCCGCCAGAGATAGAACCTTTGGCTTTAGGAATAAGTGCAATTGCCAGAACTCGGAACAAGCTCTTCGACTGTCTTTCTTTCAGGGGTGATGGCCACCTCTATGGGCGACCCCCTCAAAAAGGAATCCTTCACTACGAGGGGCTCCAGCTTTTTTTTCCCACCAAAGGCGGCAAAAAGAGTACCAGACCCCCCGAAGCCCCTGCTGGCTTCTCTCCTGGCCAGTCGAAGCGCCGGAAGAAGCCGTGCTCTCGGAGCACGGGGGTGCGAAGGCGCACCTCTTCGGAGGCGGGGATCCCTATAGCTTGGGTGAGGGAAGGACCTCTCAGCAAAAAAGCTCCATGGACCACCCCTTCAATTTCCGAAAGCGGATATGTTCTCTGTGTTCAATGGAAAGCCCTTGATCCCCCCCAAAAACAACAACAACAACTAAAGATCCAACCCAACAGCAATCAAGATAGGAGCCCGTATTGACGAAGCGTCAAATTTCAATCAACCACATTGTACATTGATCCGCGGAACTCACGCAACTGCAAAACATACTTGCGCCAGGGTCAAATTCTTGCAGGCCGGTGTCCCTCAATAGCCCTTGTAAGAGGAAAGCCACAAGTTTGTTCAGGGGCCGCTTCCAGCCAATTCAGCTTCTTCACCAAATCCTCCCAGCAACGGGCCCTATCAGCTTAACAGAGCGAAGCACGAGAAACCGCCGAATGGCAAACTCGCTTCTTTGCGCTTCCCAATCGGCTGGCAAACCAATCGGCTTCTCGATCCGGACCTTACGGGGCTGACGGTCTGAGAACCCAACGGTCCGTTGGCATTTCCCGAAGAGAACAGGGCTCCCTATATTTCCCGTTGAAACATCACCCAAGGGGTACTCACCTTTCAGGGGCCAAAAAGGTGATGTTTAAAACAGCCAAAATGGGAAATATAGGGACCCCTGGAGAAGGAACCCCTCAGCTCTGATCCTCGATGGAACAGTAATCCTAGATCCACTGCAGCATTTCCTAGAATGATTCCTGTTGACCCACCTATAGTAAACATTAATAAAAAGAGAAGAAAGAAGAAGACAGAAGTAATTCTAAGGTAAGGTGTAATAAAGATGGATTGGAGAGATATGTAAAAAGCCAATTAAAGATTTTTGTACCAGTTGGTAAAGATATTAAGATTGTAACTCCTGTAAAATAAGCTCTTGTATCACTTTCTAAACCTACAGTATACATATGATGTCCCCAAACAAGACTTCCAAGAAGAGAAATAGATGACATGGCAAAGATCATTGATTGCTTAGCAAAGATTATTAACTGTAAAATCCCAGAAATTATTATGGAAATGATCCCAAATGCAGGAATTATTAAGATGTAAACTTCTGGATGTCCAAAAAAACAAAAACAAGATAGAATATAGGATCTCCTCCAAATATTGGATCAACGAAAAGTGTATTAGAATGAAGATCACCCAACATTAAAAGAAGTGTACCAGATAAGATAGGTAATGTTAATAAAGCATGAAAGCTGTAATCAAGAAAGAGAAAGGAAATAATGGGATAGTCTTTAATATAAGATAATAAGATCTCAGATTTAGAATTGTTGTCCAAAAGTTAAGAGGTGTAAGACATGAAGATATAGATCCAAAGGATCGTCAACAAGCGTAAGAAACCTTTGGCTCCGTGGGCTGAGGGGAAACCATCCCCCAACTTGATACATTCTTCAGCTCCAGCTCCTAATTAGGTTGACCCCCAAACAGGTCCAAATTGTTTGCTTCCCAGCAAGAACATTTGCCCAAAACAAAACCAAGGCTCCGACCAACAAACAGGCCGTCTCCTACTTGCTTGAGGAAGAGTCCCCGAATGCGTTTCTAACAAGCATGCTGGGTTTGCAGGGCAGAGGTTGGGCAAGTGAGTTCTGGCCCCCTTACCATTCTCATTTCGCAAACCGCTGCACCCACCAAGTAAGTTTGAAGGACAAGCTGACAAACTGATCTACTCCCAAAACAAAATCCACTTAACTGTCTTGCTCTTGCACGCTTTTGTCTTCCAACCAATCCATACAAGTTTTGTTTCGAGCCACCAAGGTGGCACTCTCAAATCATGCTTTAGACGACAGCGAGCACTAAACAACAACAAAAGAAATGAATCAACACATCTCCAACCACCCAACAGCACCCGGCGCCGAAAACCAGGACCGCACCCATGTTCTGCGAGTCCCATCATCCAACCACGGCTTTCGAAGGATTTCCGACCCCATGGATTTGATCCCACCGAATCCCATGGCGCGCCTCTGGGTTCCGATGGCAAAGGTTTCGAACCAAAGCGCCGGCCTGGCGACACCAAAACGCGCCGCTGAACATGGGGCAGCTACGTCGGGGAAGAGGCAAATGGATGGGTCTGGTAGAGTCTGAAACGAAGTCAACCAGGAATCGCCATCTGATTTACCAAAACAACCACACAGGACCTACTTAAATTTGGTGCTTACTCAATTGGTAATAGCCATGGCTACCCACTTAAGCCATGGGTACAAGTCTCCGTCCAGTGGGTTCTCTCACCAGGCCCACTCACTTACCTGGGCAGTGAAGAAACCTCTCATACATGAGCCACTCCCATTCGCCCCGAGTTTTGGGGGATGGGCGGGTCGATGGGGTTCCATGGGCTGTTCAAGTCCAGATGCCACGAGCCCTGATTCGAAATCGCAGGTGCTTCGTTTATTGGGATAGACTCCCCATTTCGACAAAGGCCCACCAAGGGTCCAAAGACAAACCGCGCCGAAACGACCGGAAAAAGGAGCAAAATTCAGCACCGTCTGGGCCGCTTCGCCCCATTTGGGGGCCCTTGTTTCCTTGTTGCGGTGCCTGTGGGCAGCCGCCAGGTTTGTTTGCCCTTCGTGGTCATTTTGCGGTGGGCCGCTTGCACCTGAAAAGTCGGGTTCCATGGCACCTTTCGACCCGGATCCGCCCTTCCGCGTTCCCTTCCCTTGACCTCCGATGTCTTTGCGGTTTTTCGCGGCGCCTTCAGCTCCTCCCTTTGGGCTCCGACTTCTGTCCAGTTTGTTTCCCCGCAACTCGGAGAAACCGCCCGGGAAGCGAAAACGACAACTTTCGCACCGCGGAAAACTCAAAACCCGCGGCAACGGCCTCGGGCTTCACGGCCTCGGGGAAGCGCACCGTCTCGATGCCCCGCTTCACCAGGCCGTAGGTCTGAAACGGAAAAGCCGAAGCTCGCCGAAGGCCGACGTCGGCGGTTTTTTTCGCTTGGAAGATCCATTTGCCGGAGCCAAGATGCTGTTTGAATGGGCCGTCCGATACCAAGAAGAGTCCTGGGCGTCCGATACCAAGAAGAGTCCTTAAGATAAAAAGTGGGAGTCTGATTTTTCAGTGGGCTGCAGCTTCATGTTCATGACTTTCAGTGGGCTTCTGATTGGCAAAATGACATGCGGAAGTTTCCACACAGCTGCCAGGGTTGGGCCCTAGAGGCCCTCAGTAATTAGGCTTCCACCAAAATTTGAGGTCACAACCACAAGAGGAAAACAAACCAAATTGTTGGGATTCAAGGAAATCCAAAGATGCTTGTGGGATGCAGCATTGTCCATCCAAAGTCGGCCGAGTCATGGTTCTGGCCTGAAGCATGTCCCATAATCAAAAGAGCAAGAAACCCCAAACGCGCGCCGAAGGCTGCGCCCTGAACAAAAAGAGGTGGATTGACCGTGGTTAATCCCTCAGCGGTTCAGGGGGTGGTTCCTAGACTCTCGTTCCGCACTCAGCGCTGTTTTCTTGTTGTGCGCTTGAGCCAAACGGCGTTTGCCGTTCGACAAGTCTGTCATGACATGCAACCCTCAACCTAAACCAAAGTGGCCTCAAGCAAACCTCACATCAGTGACCACACAACTAGGCAAGTTACCATGCCTTTGGGGGCTAAGGGGTCGTTATTTCTTGACTCCCCCCTCGCCGTGTGCACTAAGGCAGGGTAAGCTTTTGTTTTGGAGCGCGATACGCTGCTCCCGGACATCAAGGCTTTACAAGGATGAAGGATATTTTGGCACTCTTAGTACTCACAGCACTACCTTCGGGATGACTTTCTACTTTTTGATGTTGAATCGAGTATCTTCTAGCTCTTCTGGGAGATCTGTGCGCATTCCCAGGAGCCTCAAGGCGTGATCCCACTTATGCGGAGGCAAAGCCTTGGTAAAGATATCGGCAGCTTGGAAATCGGTCTTCACATATTCAAGCTCTACTCCAGTGCCTTCCTGTAACTGTTCTGCAAGGGATGCTAGGTTAACCCTATGTGTCCTAGAAATTGCACGCAACTTCGAGGAGTGCCCTTTCCTTGCAACCAGAATAGTAGCTTGATTGTCTTCGTGGATCCTTAGGGTCATTGGGCGACCCAATAGTCGATCCCACAGACTAAGTGTCGGGAGTCCCTCCTGATACAAAGAAAATGCTAACGACACAATCTCTGCTTCTGTAGTGGAACGCGACACAGAAGTCTGGCGCTTGCTAATCCATGCTAAGGGGAAGTGGGAATTCGGGCCTTTCAGGGCGAGAAACCCCCCTGACGTGGACTTGGCCCCCTCTTCTCCTGCAAAGTCAGCGTCGACGTAGAGCGCAAGATGCAGCTCTCTGGGATCGTCTTGAACTGTGCCAACCAACCTGTGCGTTGTGGTCGTGTTAATGTAAGCTATTAGCCTAGCCAATTGCCTATCATTATTACGCGACCATTTTTGAACGCACGTTGCAAGATCCCCGATGGGCTTGATTATGTCTGGACGTGCAAGACGTCCCAACCACAAGGCCTTCATCAAGATTTTACAAGCGGCTGAGCTCAATTCACCTGCTTCGGCATCATCTTGTGTTGGCAATGACCCTTCCGGACAGAATGGGGTCAATGCCTTGCGGAGTTTACTAATCGGCTGACCTGAAATGGAGACATACAAATCTACAGTTTGTTTGGCATAGTCAACCATATCAAAAGCCATTGCGTTGGACAGCGCGCCAAAGGCTGCGCTCTCGGCTGGATTAGGCTCGCACTTCGGGGCGTTAATGATGACATGATTCCTTCCCAAAACACGATATATCGGTTCTGGGGGTTCAATATCAACACATGACATCAGCTTTTCCCAAAAGGGATCATGCTGCTCTGCCGGCCCTGAAAGCGTTAGATCATCCACATAAGTGGATAGCATTAAGCCGGTTGAGGGGAAGTAAAAGTTTCCTGGAAATTCTTGGATCTCCTCTCCGGTCTGCTCCTTCAAGATCTTCTTGAAGTGCTGCTCCCATAGCCCCCCCGCGTCGGGGTGACCGTAGAGTGCTTTTACTAGAAGGACTACCGGTTTTATAAACTTTTCTTTCCACCACTTCGGACGAAGTTCCGGCGGCAACGATATCCACGTCTGATGTTGAGATCGAAGTAGGGCCTGGATATATGCCTTTACGGCGTCTGCCGCCGTGGTTTTGTGACCTGGCAGTGAGCCGTAGGCAAGGCAATTGTTCAAACCCTGAACGGACGTAGGGTTGGCGCCGAGTTCTTGATAAACGGCCGCCGCCCCATATTCGTCCCGCGCACAGTCCCCTCGGTATACTATACGCCCCTTCATTTTGTGTAGATGCTTTGCTAGCTCAAAGAATTTGATGGAGGCGATGGTCATTAGTTGACCGAAGTGGACTTTAGTGTGCGTCCGTCGCGCTTCAGCAGCGACCTCTCCCTGCTCCCTCACGGTGCTGAGATCCCAAACTCCCGCATTACTTGAGCCGTCTGCTTCTTCCTTACGGCCTGCAACGCCTCGGACGAGGCAAGCATCTCTGAACGTGAAAGAAGTTTTGTGACCATGGCGGCTATGTCGGGAGAAGTCTCCTGCTTTGTAATTCCCTGAATTTCCCTAACGAGGTTATCCAAGTCAAAGAGTTCTTCAAAGAATCTGCGGGATGTTGGATCTGATTCAACCACTGACGCGAGAGCCCCAACACCCGAAAGTGCGGAGGTATGCTTCAAGGACTGCTCCTTTTCCCGATGCTCCTCTTGCACGGTGACAGCCTGGACTGGCATTGCAGGCGCGCATGGCGCTGCGACATGCGGGTATAACGCACTAGCGATTATCTTACACATCTCTTGTGGATAAAAGGCGGTGCGTGCAGTGTTGCTACCTGCGGCCTGTGCGTGCTTGAAGGAGTGATGGTGGGGGCATGTCCTATTCTGGAACCCATCATGAAGTTCCTTGGATGTGGTCATGAGACGCCACGGCTTCTTGATGGGAGTCCCTTCCTTGTCAGTTAGACCTACTGCACACCCGTGGAAAGTCACTGAGTGGAAGCGAGACGCATGCTTCTCGAAGAATGCCTTTACGTCGGGGCGCTCCCATCCCTCGCAGTCGCGAGGCCACTCGAAAGTGACGTGACCCTCTTGTTCTATCACCACTTCGGCGTGCTTTGTGAACCTTGCGAACAACGCCTCCGACCTTTTAACCTGTGCACGGAGATACTGCTTGTATTTATTGCCGTACCTATGGACATTTAGCCTTTGCCATGGCGACCCGGAGGTGCACGGAATGGCCGCCCACATGTTAGGCTTGCTACAAGACTGCAACTGAGCGGTCAGTTGCTCATCCCCTTCATTGGTTTCAAGATCGATGTGTTCCTTAGCCAGTCTCACGTGGGGAATGCCTAATGCTTGATGCACTGCTCCCATGGTGGAGTCACTTGAACATGCATACTCGAACATTACAGGCATAGAATTTCCCCGCGCGATACGCTTGCGGGCCCTCTTATTCCCTACGGAAAACTTTTTGCATGGCTCCTTTTTGGAACATGGCATGCCGAACACAGGCAGAGTCCGAGCCTCCCTCTTGGTGAAGGAGTCGGCTACGTGGCACGTGAGTGATGTGGAGGTTGCAGTGGTGGTTGTTACCGCCGCGCCAGTTGTGGCTGCAGGCGGCGCGGTTGGAGGAATCCCCCCTGGCCGAGACGGAGCTGGCTTGCCGCGAAGAGCATCATCATGTTCTTCGGATGCCCTCAGTGCTTTCTCGAGCGCATCGGGATCAGATAGATCTGCCTTTTCAAGGCGGGAAAGCTCAAGTGCCTTTTTAAGGTCGGCATCGTCCTCTTCGAGACGTGCCTCCTTGGCTGCATGAACTGGGTCAATCGCTTCGGAGGGGCGAAGTGACCGCTCTACCTCGACGGCAGCCGAGCGCTTGGAGCGCTCCTCGGCTTTCTCCGTATCGACCAGCCTCGCAAAGCGGCGTCGACATTCGGGGGTATGGTACCGGGTGCGCCCAGTACAACCTCGACAACCTGGTGTTTCACGGAACCGGATTATTCGATCCACAGTGATGTACACGCCTCGCGGCGTGCCTGGAGCGGGAGTCGGCGGTGCAGCTACCTCGCTAAACGGAACCTCTTTAAGAGCGACTTCTGGGAGTTCACCCTCGGCTTCCCCCGTCCGCAGCGCCTTGTGGGCTGCTGCCGCAACGGGGAAACAAGGCTCACCTTCTTCAACGAAGAGTTCTGCCTCCGGGACATCATGCACTACAATCGCTCGACGAGTCCTAAATTCTTGATAATCTAGGACCTTGACCACATGGCGATACCGAAGGCCTGCGTCAACCCTCCAGCCCAAAAACAAAGCAGGTGCCAAGTTGGGTTCTAGAGTGCGCTTATTAATGCCCTTTTTACGGTAATAGACAAGCTGACCAAAGCAATGCCTAATGCCATCGAACTTCGACTTTGTCAAGGCTTCCCATTGGGTCTTAGCCTTGTCGAATGTTGCAGGTCTGTCGAATGACATGGAGAGACATGCGAAGGGATAGGAGTGAGTGTGTAGATCGTACGGCAACCCACTCTGGAGGTGGATGGATCTGCAACATTCCTTTTCTTCCCTAATATCCCTTTCCAGCTCAGCATTATGGGGCCATCGATTCGGCAACGAGGTTTCGGGTGTCAGGCCGACCTCATGTGCTGCCGCTTCGAGTTCCCCCGCTTCATCCATTTTGATTAGACATGTCGGAGCAAGCTCGTTAGCTTTCAAACCTAGGAAGTGCCTTAGATTTTTGGAATGGGCTGCTGTGTCCCTTTTGGATACAGGATATGCAATCCTTGCTCCAGAGAAAACATCCCTGATGACGTGGTGAGATTTAATCCCTCCGATTCCAATGCCCGCGTGTTCATCTCCTTTCGCAAGGATGACACTGTCAGTAGCGAGCTGTTGAAAC